TTACTTTAATGCTTTGAATATTATCTCCCTCAGAGGATTGTGCTTTGCAGATTAAATTAGAAAACATATGTGAAATCACCTAGCATAATACCTGAAATTTAGGCACTTAGCCAAACCTAAATATTTATGCAAATGTCCGTGGGTTTGTGTTTTAAAATAGCTTCTATTTATAATAAAATGTAATAAAATTCCCAAATGTATTCCATGACAAAAATGTTGAGTGAGCTATTTTAAGAGAGTGGGGGAGGTGGTTCTATCGTCATATCAGGTTGAGAGATGCAGCGTACTGAACACCATAACTTACCTGTCTGTGCTTCCCAGTCCGTGCAAGCATCTGATGACTCTAGCATGTGACGGAATTAAACAAGCATGTAAGCAAGCTAGCTAGCAAAAGGTGGTTAATCTTGTCCAAACCAGCATTCCCTAACACAATTTTGTGGGACACCTCTGGCTCTTTCAGGACTGGTATTCTGTAAGTATGTTACAATAGCCAAAACTCACTAGCAGTGAAGATTCTGGGACCCACTGAACCTGGCTCCCTCTCACTCTTTGTTGTTGTTGTTAGGGCCCATAGAGTCAACTCTGACTCAATGTGACCCTATGTACAACAGAACGAAACATTGGCCGGTATCTTCATAGTCTTTGCTATGCTTGAGTCCATTCTCATTCTTAAGAAGCCTCTTTCATTCCAGAATGTCCTCACTGGTCCCTTTTGCTTTATTAGGGAAAGTTCTTGCCCATTCAAATATGTTGTTGTTGTTGTTAAGTGTCATCGAGTCGGACCTGACTCATAGCGACCCCTCTTTGGGTTTCTGAGGCAGTATCACTACGGAAGTAGATTGCCCAACCTTCCTTCTGAGGAGCAGCTGGTAGGTTTGAACTGCCAGCTTTCTGGTTAGCAGTCAAGTGCCTTAGGCACTATGCCACCAGATATACAGAATATAAAATATTAGCCCAGTCTAAGCCAAGTAAGAACACAAAGTTCCACAGCACTTTATTATTGATTAATAACATATTGATTTACTTTGTGAATGAGCCCAGAATCAATTTCTAATTAGAGGTGAGCTTTAGCTGGCTGCTAAATGCTTCTAGGACATTTCTCGAAATGGTCAATTGCTGTACTCACATGAATCAACAACAACAACAGTTGCACTTGTGAAGGACTTTATAATGCACAAGATACTTTCCTATAATTTATATCATTTCTCTAAACAAAATGTGACATTGTCCTCATTTTACAGCTGAGATAGCCAAGATTTGAACAATTACCTAAATGAATGGCAAAATCACAGCTCAAATCCAAGTCCAGTGGCTTATGATTTATATCATAATTCCCAGTGTGGTAAACACAGGGTGCACATTGATCTTAATACTAGTACTCTGTAACCTGTGGTCAGTGTCTGGGGAGAAGGAAGTGATATGAGGCAGCTGACCCCTTTAGTTCAGTCTACCACAGTTGTTAAGTGTGGCTGAAAAGTTCTTCGGCGCAATGAGAAAAACCATGGACTAAGATGACAGCCACACTTGGTAGGTCGGAATCCTTGCTCCTTTACTAATTTGCTCAATGAGCTTAGAAAAGTCACTGCACAGCTCTGTGCCTCAGTTTCCTCACCTGCAAGTTCTGGTTATAGTAATACCTAACTCACAGGTAAAGGAGCTCTGGTAGTGTAATGGATAAAGCATCAGCTGTTAACCAAAAAGTCAGTGGTTTGAACCCTCCAGCTGTTCTGTGGGAGAAAGATGGAGCATTTATTTTGGTAAAGATTTATAGCCTTGGAAACTCTATAGGGCAGTTCTACTCTGTCTTATAGGGTCATTATGAGTTGGAATTTACTCAATGGCAGTGAATTTGGTTTTGATTTTAACTCATAGGAGGTTGTGATAATTATATGAATGTTGTTGTTGTTGTTATGTGCCGTGGAGTCGGACCTGACTCATAGTGACCCCTCCTTGGGTTTCTGAGGCAGTATCACTACGGAAGTAGATTGCCAAATCTTCCTTCTGAGGAGTGGCTGGTGGGTTTGAACCGGCAGCCTTCTGGTGAGCAGTCGAGTGCCTTAGGCACTATGCTACCAGAGCTCCAATTATATGAATAATGATGAAATAATAATAATAAAAAAAAAGCAGAAAATAATGTGCTATGTGTGATTTGAGAAGACAACTCATTACTCATAAGATTGTTTCTTATTGGGAAATGTGCTTCTAATACAAAAAACAAAAAACCTACTTACTTACAAATGAGTTGGGAAGTTAAGGAACAACTATACCATTAAAAAATTATAAATACTGAGTAATTTCCACCTTCTTCCTCCCCGCATCCACTCCAAAGAAAATAACCTAATATATATCAGAAGTAAATCAAAGTTATATTTTGGATTAACCTTTGATAGGCATAAGGAGCTCTGATGGCATAATGGGGAAAGCATTTAGCTGCAAGCCAGAAGGTCAGCAGTTCAAGTCCAATACCAGCTGCTCTGTGAGAGGAAGATGAGTTAATCTACTTCTGTAAAGATTTACAGCCTTGGAAAACCAGTGGGGGTAACCATGAGTCTGAATCAACTCAATGGCCAGTGCCCCCCCCATTAGGCATATTCTGCATCATTTTGTTCCATTGGTTCCAATCATTTCAAGTTGAATTACAAACATCTCTGGATAGGCACATAAAACTGATGTGGAACACAAGTAGGAGCCTACTTATAACTGTCTCAATTAAGATTATAATGTCACTCAGTAAATTCTGCTGTGATTGTCTTATTGTTGTTAGGTACCATTGAAATGATTTTGAGTCACAGTAACCACAAGGGACAGAGTAGATGTGCCCCCTAAGGTTTTCTGGCCTGTAAATCCTCACTAGAACACATCACCAGGTCTTAGAGCCACTGGATGGCTTTGAACAGCCAACTTTTTGGTTAGCAGCTAAGCACTTAACCATTGTGCCATCAGGGCTTATTTAAAACCATAAATCATCTTCAAAAGCAATGCCTGTGGTAACAAGGAATGAAAAGGTGTGTGAGGAAGCATTATCAGTCTAGCTCCACCACTAGGGGGGGAAAAAAAAAAAACACCTCTGTCAGCTGTTCTTCCTGTACACACGTGGAGGACCAGAGCTCAGCATCAGGTCCATAGCAAGTTTGATTAATATGCT